GCAGGCTGATGACCTTGATATCATGGAAAGGAAGATGAGTATAATAATAAAATAGCGGTCTTATGTGATTTTTAGTATTGAATACATGTTGCTCCATTTCAATACAAAAAGCTATATTCCATATTGGGAGAAATTCATTCTACGCCTAGTCGCAATAGCTCCGGGGAACAGATGGGGTGACACAGAGCAGTCAATATAGCTTGATCCAACTTTTTGAAGGAAAAGCATCATAACACTTTCAAATGGTCCACTTAATTATCGGCCCTTTTTAGCCAACTATTCCATTATTAATAAGTTGCCTTGAATAATTCTTGCCCATATGTGAACTTGCTAGGTGGTAGTGGTGGTCAGTAGTAATGGTCGTAGTAGTCGCAGCCTGGTACCTTTACATCCGAGGGCCACCCTCCGCTCCAGCGATTGATTATCGGAGGCATATAGCACCGAGTACTCTATAAACCAAAGCTAAACCAGAGCAAGACATGAAACTACCAATTTATCATATCATTGGCCTCCTCGAAAGATGCAGCGAGTCCTCGATAAACTAACTACCTTGCCACCTGGTACCACTAAGTGTCGCAACACCATGTGGAAGCTTTATTCTATGGGTGACTGAAAACGAAGTCTACCAGTCACCAACCTACAAGCAATGCTTCCTTTTAGGAATCGCAATTGCTTAGGAAACCCGGTAAGAAGGCTTCAACCATCGTGTTGGACTTGAGGCGACGTATCCACTGACTGCGGAGGTTGATCAGTCTTCTGAGTTGGATTCAACGTATTCAAGAAAATTGGGTAGAGCACGTCTTACATCGCGGTTTATAGGGGCTACACTTCTTGGTGGTAATACGGATTGCCAGGGCGATGGGTGGACCTCTGAAGGTCAGCTGCGCGGGAAAGTAGTCAGAAGATATATCATGTATACATATTTCTTTTTGAGCCACTAATTTGAATAGCAGGGTTACTCAGATAGCATTAACAAAGATCTCCGGTCAGTGCACGAATAATATTTCAAAGGAACCTGGGGGATATAAACATTGAGATATGTGTATGTCATTGATAAAAAAAAAAGGATTCTAGTGCACAAGTTGAAACAGCCTCGGCCTGAATTGTATGTGTAAGACACCCTTCGGGGGCACGATGTAGGGGTGGGTATCTAGCGTAGACATGAGGAAACATGAGGGAACATAAGAAGTACACAGTGGGGAGTCAAGAACAACTTTAACGGAAATCATATCCATGACATGAGAGGCTTGCATGACGCCAGGTTAAACTGGACAAGAAGACAGATAAGAGAGAGAACAAGAGAACAAGGATGACTACCACCCTCGATCCTTGATGGTAGCGATAAATTTGGCCCGGAGGTACCCAGAGGGCTCCAGCACCCTTTTCAGCACGGGAAGCCACCAATCCTCTATAGATTCATGAATGACCGTTGCCAAGGCATACTCCATGTATTCAGGGAAAAATCCACTGTACCCCCAATCGATGATGCCGGTGAGCTGGCCATCTTGAACCATAATGTTCCGCGCAGACAGATCACCATGTGTCAAAACGAATTTTGAAGGCCTCTTCTTCCTCATCTTAGGCAAGTATCGCTTCCAGAATGCCTGTTGGTAAGGAAACTTAACTCTGGCAAAGCACCACTCATCAAATTCCACTTCAGAAGCAAAGGGACCCATGTCATTATTGTGCAGGCGGTCGAAGAAATTATATGTCGTGACATTGCCGATACGGCCAATATACGGCTGGGTGTGTTTCCGCATCTCTTGTACCTTGAAAAGGTGAGCACAAATAGCTAAGCCAGGCCATGTAGATTATGAAACCTACCTGCTGCTTGAGTTGGAGTTCAATGTCCTTCTTTTGAGTCTTGGACAAGGTGTGCCAGACTTTATCAAGCGAATCGCCAGGCACCCGGTCAGTCACTGTAGCTATGACACCCCTCTTCACGTCATAGCAACCGCGTACCCGAGGTGTGAGGATCCCTTTTTCATGGGCATACTGCATCATTTCAGCTTCCGATCGCCTGTAGTCTTCCTTCCGGTTCACTTTCACAGCGACCAAGTTACCGCTCGTGGTTCGGGATTCCACCACGCGATTCCCCATATACTCGTAGAGGTCTGTGCCTTGTATGATGCTCCGATATTCCTCCAGCTGCTTAGCCAGGCGGGCCTCAATCTCCTCTACCTCCGACATGTTGTAGACGATGGTGCTGTCGCGAGGGTTAATGTGTCTGAGAGAAGGGAGGATATTATTAAAAACCCACTCCCTCCCAGTGCGCTTTTGGACTGAACCCTCCGGATTCAATACCGCTCGGCTTTCCGGTAAAAGGGTGGAAAATTGAGTCAACAGACTCAGGATGCACAAGCTTACATTCACTACTACAGGTGAGTGTGGGATCTGATATTCCAAAGAAATGAGGCTGCAAACTATGTACTGTCAGCCGTGCTCATTAAGCCTTCCGCGCCATGGCGCATGGTGCGACCCCCTCGTTTTGCTGCTATTCTTAGCACGGCGCCTATCTTCTGAAACTGTGGATTTAGTATACTAATTCCTGGACCACTTACCTCTGATGAATTATCATTGTATTTTCTCCCCTCTCCATGTCTGCCCTTCTCTTCTGTGTCTTGTTGTCTTCTCGACCAATCTAATTGCAACTACTTTTTCTTTCATTCATATCACCAGTAGTAACAACAGTACTACGTGGAATTGAATAGTCATGAGCTTGTGAAGGCCTAGCCAGGGTTCTATTGATAAGTATTCATATGTCAAAGCCAGTAAAAGACCAGCGGTAGCTAAACCATGTATGAGAAACTGCATATGTTAGATTTAAAAATAAATAGGTAGATTAGATAGACAAGATTACTGCCCGAGAGTCAAAAGCTGGAGATGATCTTACCTTCTTGCCTGATAACTAATAGCTAGCTACCGCAATTCTTGGATAGTATTAGAACTTGAGCTAAGAAAGAGTCATTGGATACCTCAAATCCTGGGAGGGCCAATTAATCTAATAGGAAGACGCTCATACCTTAGATAACTAAGGCTTGTTTTCTTATCCGACAGAGTCCCACCGCCTGCCGTTTCAACTCGTTCAAGCCTGAGACAGAAACCGTGCTCCTTAGGCAGAAAATCATCTATAGGGGAGGCGGTAGGGTTTCTGTCTGTACTCTATGTATCTCCGTACTACGTACTCTGTGCATCATCTTTCTTTAGTGCTTCATCTATAGGAAGGGTACTAAGCCTAACATCATTAGCCTATTCGGCAGCACGTCCTCAAAGGAAGACACCAAATACTGGCCGATCGAATAGCACAGTAGTATCTGATGTTGACCCTTTTTTATCGCCCTGTTAGCGTCTTTGACGTGTCATCCTCTCTTTCGCTTGTGTTGGGAAGCACTTGATATTCGACCTGCATTCAAGCCCAAGAGACTTTGTACATTGCGCAATGACACAAATGAAACGGCCATGTTCCCCTACGCCCCTCCCCTCCAAGCGCGTTTCTACAACCGCTTGCCTCACAACTGATGCCCTCAAGGAGCATGACCGAAACACACGCCCTGTCTCTCTAATCACGCGTCTCGATATGGCCTCAGAGCAGAGCACAAGCGGCATACCAGGGGAGATCCCAATACTTTCCCCATCCACCCGCTCCTCACAACGGTCGCGGTCCAGCAGCCCCTCCAGGCTAAGTGACGCGCAATATCGTTACAGACTTCTCCGGCGTGCAAATATCTTTGTTGATGATGAGATCCCCATGGACATTCGGCATCATACAGAGAATCAGGTTTTCAATATACTTTTAGATAATAACGACAGTAATCTACACAAGGTTTCTGAGAAGCTCTGGCATAAATCCAAAGAACTGGTCAGAAAACCATCAGGAGAGGCCGAATGGACAGAAGCATTATACACGGCAATTGACGAGTTGAAACCCGATGGGCTCGAAGTTGCGCGCAATCGAGGTAAGCACCACAATGCGTCAAACTCGGCCATGCTAACTTTTTTAGACTGGCGTGAGGATCTGAAACCTCCAGTATATAATCCTCTTTCTACCGTCCCGCGGAAACGAGACCGGTCACATCGAATCGTACCCGGAAACACAGTCGAACCAACCATTCCTATATTCAAGCTTAAAGATCCACGTCCAGATATATGTGTCGGTTTGTCCGATGAAAACCTAGCAAACGCCCTTGTACCTAAGAAGGGCCGTAGCGCCGCACGAAGATTTCTAGTTGACCTGCAAGAAACCTCCAGCCTTATCAGTGACCCCCACGTCACACCTCTTGGCCTTCGATTCCCTTTTCTGGTAGTCGAAGCAAAGGCTGCTGCAACTGGTGGGAACTTGTACCAAGCACAGAATCAAGCTGCAGTAGGTGGTTCAGCAGCACTTCAAATCTTGAAAAATCTTTTGGATCTCCAAGATTTGGACGAAGAGGACCAAGAAGTTACTGAAGACGGCCCTGTGGTAGCCCAAGATTTGCCTAACACCAAGTTGCGCCTCGCCTTCTCTGTCACCACGGAGGGCCCAATTCACGAATTATGGCTTCATTTCCAGAAGCCTCGAGAAGAAGATTTTTACATGGTGTGCTTGGGAACCTGGAGAACGACGTTGAAAGACGGTTCATTGAATTTCTTACGGCAACTTTCAGCTGTCTTGCGATGGGGAAATGGTGAATTAAAGGATGACATTATTAGTGTCCTTCAGGATATATAAAATGATCAATGGAAGTTGGTACTTTATCGCAGGCAGGCAATTTACCAGACCCTTTGATTTTCTTGGGTATCTTCCTGCCTGAGGTAAAAGATAGTACCTCTATCTAGTCTTCGAATCTCGTGTGCTCATCTAATATATAGCCTTTCTGCCACTAGCCCGATTTAGTAATAACCAGGCACGGACACTCACTAATTCCCAAACGGGTATAGTGCACGGGATTGCCAGAGGGACCGACCGATAAAGTTTCCCGCTGGTTGATACCGTCATCGTTCTTCGTCCATCAGGCAGATCAATGGAATGCTAGCAATGCTTGTGAAACATTCTCGTCATTGACCACTGTTCTTACTGCAAAATTTCTTCAGAGATTTGGTGGCTCTGGCGTCTCGCTGAATAAGGGGACTGAAGCATCTTAGAGGGACTGATAAGACTCAATATCATTGCCTCTGCTTAGTTCCCGGTTTGTTTACAAACAACAAAACCCTCGTCTCTCTGCATGGCGTAGACTCGCCCTGGTGGTAGGATGCGAACCCAACGATTTGTGGTCTGGCTGGGCACATTTGTCCTCGTCTCCCTATTCCTCATCTTCTTCAGAGGTCCCAGCCCCTCCCCCTCACCTATTGTGGACCTCTATCCTTCTCCCGATTCTCGGCCTCCGACTACTTTGCAGAGCCCCCCCGTACCGTCCAATGCCCAGCTTATTGAACAGTCTGGCCTCCGAAAGGCTGCTCAGCCGGACAGTCTTCATCCGATTGCATCGCTTGTCAAGAATGCGGAGCAGCAATTTGATCGGCTACTGTCACGTCAATCGAAGACCTTGGCTCAGGCTGTCAATGAATATCGAGAGCGTTACAACATGCACCCGCCCCCGCATTTTGACAAATGGTTTCAATTTGCGAAAGAAAGAGGCGTCCAACTGATTGATGAATATGATACAATATATCATGCTCTGTTGCCATTTTGGGCCCTCGAACCGAAGACTATTCGCGATCGGGCTCGCGAGACGCTGGGCTTCGATAATTCTATGATCGGGGTACTGATCAGAAATGGATCTGTGTCACTTGTGGAAGGCGGGGCATTCGAGCAGAGCTGGCAGCGCAGTGCTACCGCTAAGATGATCGAGAGTTTTGTCGAGTACCTGCCTGATATGGATCTTGTATTTAATGCCCTCGATGAGCCTCGAGTCGTTGTACCCAGCGAAGATCTTCAGAGGCTGGTTGCTATTGCGAGAGAGCAAGTCTCTCAAATTACGGTTACGAATACCATGCCCACAAATGCATGGTCAGATAGACCCAGCGACTTGAACAAGGGTGACCGCATTGATGAAGTGCGTACTACCCGTTTCAATCGGTTCACCCGTCAGTCCACGTGGAGTTATTCTCGGTCTTCCTGTCCAATTGACAGTCCGGTCCGCTCACTTGATGAGCAGGCCGCGGATAATGTAAACTCCTACGCTCAGGGCGAGTTAGGATTTATATACAACACCAGCGCCTTTTCCGACATTTGCAACTCACCTTCCCTCCGCCACAAGTATGGTTTCTTTGACCGGCCGAACCGGTTTGAGGCTGTACATGACTTATTCCCGGTCTTCTCGCAAAGCAAGATCTCGAGCTACCAGGACATTCTGTACCCAAGCCCTTGGTACTGGTCTGACCAGGTACCTTATGAAGAAGATAAAGATATGGAGTGGAATGAGAAGAGCAGCCAGATGTTCTGGAGAGGCTCAACAACAGGAGGATACTCCAGAGCTGGGGGCTGGCGGCGGCAGCATCGACAATTGTTCGTCGGCAACGTTAATGCTCTCAATACAGCCAAGACACTGTCTAAGACTGAAAGTAACCAATGGAAGGCCAGGGGAGTTGGTCGTAACTCTTTTGCGGATCTCTTCGACGTTCGGTTCACGTACATTGGCCAATGTGACGATAAGGACTGTGCCGCCCAGGAAGAGTATTTTGACTTGGCGGAACCCGTTGATCAGCAAGACGCTTGGGCGTACAAACATCTGTTGGACATGGATGGAAATGCGTTCAGCGGTCGGTTCTATGCGTTCTTGCGCAGCAGGAGTCTCGTTCATAAAGTCTCAATCTTCCGCGAATGGCATGATGAGTGGCTCAAACCCTGGACACATTACGTACCTCTGAGCCTAACCGGAGATGATTATCTGGAGGCAATGCGATACTTTGAGTCCGAAGAAGAGGGCAGAGTGATCGCGCCAAGACTGGCTCAGCAAGGCCGGGAATGGGCACAGAAAGCTCTCCGAAACGAGGACATGGAGGTCTGGTTCTTCCGACTTCTACTAGAGTAAGTGCACTCTTTGTATCTTTTGCTTTCCTGATACTAAAAACCCACTAAATAGGTACGGGCGCCTAGTTGACGACAACCGACATAATCTGGGCTTTTCGGTCTAGCTTTGTATGATTACTGCCAGGTTTCGCTATTTGCTTTCTGTCTTATTCCCCAATGTTTAACGAACGTACGATATATATGGCGTTTTGGAGCTTTTGCTATGATGAGACGAAAATCAGGGATTGCCAATTGATGTGTGTATATATGACTTACGAAAATTCGAAAACGAAAATCACATTTTATATCCTTAGTTATGCTGTTGCCCTGTACCAAACACCACTGCACAAAAAACCCTTATACTTTCCGAATTGATTGTGGCCCCGTTTCACATGTTGCGGGTCCCATCTGAGCGGGTATTAGGTCATCGGGCCCCAGTCCTCGTCTCTTCCTCCCATAGAGTTACTTTGGTTAGTTCCAGAGAAAGAAGAGCTTGGGTGGCGGAGACCTCTTCCAGTCTCGGAATTTGCCCCATTAATAGACAAGCACTAACCAGCACTGGGTAGTTTAAGTCTATCAAACACACACTTACCAGTATGCTTGCTCACCAGCCAAGAACCGTTTCCCCTCCACCTCAATCCTTCCATCTTTTCCACTAAGATCCTCCCTCCCTCCCCCTATCCTATCCGGACTAGTTCCGTCAGGTGGATCTTCTGTTTGCTTTGCTCTGGTCTATAAATTTGCCTCGGCCTCCGCTGGTTAGTTGTTGTCGTCAGCTCATCTTCTCCCTGTCACTTTCTTTGTTTCCTTTTCTTTCTTTGCAATCTTTCAGTCGTTGAACTTCACGAAGTACTGTAGTGCTGGTGATTTATATTGATTGATTGACAGTTTCCGTGTCTGCATGGGATAAGATATATGCATGCATGCATCATGAAGCCCACAGCTTGGTTGCTTGGAAAGCTTAAATCGGCTGTAATTTTGACGTATGGGTTGGGCGGACTGTTGTTTTATGGCCTTGTCGCTGTGAAACTGGGGTATTTCTTTAAGCAGACTACCGAGAAGGAGGAGTTGGAGCTGAACATCGGTAAGAATTTTGTCTATGTTGCTTTTCTTTGTTTTACGTGCTATGCTGGGACTGTGCGGGGGACATAAAGCTGATGACTTATGATGAATCCTAGCGCGCAACAAGTTCTGGGACTTGTCCAAGGATTGGGCTGGCTTTTCGCATCATATACTTAGCCTGAAGACCGGGTTCAAGTTTCACTACGTTTGCAATGACCAAGGCGCCTCGGTGGATCAGGATAAACCTGTGGTTGTTTTTATCCATGGTTTCCCCGATAGCTGGGCCATCTGGCGCAATGTTCTGAGCTCTTCGTCTCTCCAGCAGTCTGCGACGCTTATTGCGGTTGATATGCCTGGTTATGGTGGGACTGATAGCTTGGCTGATTACTCGCCTACTAATGTGCTCGAGAGTCTGACGGAGTTTATCCTTGCGATCAGAGCCAAATATGGCGTGGATACGGAGGCCGGTATGCGCCAGAAGAAGCTGGTAGTTGTCGCGCATGACTGGGGCTGTGTTGTTTCCATGCGACTTGCGGCTGAAGCTCCTCAGTTGGTGGATCGGTTTATCTTGAGTAATGGCCCGTTGGTAGGTTATTGCAGAGATTCTACGAGTATGTTCGGTTGTGCTGATGATGTTAGCCTGCACTTGCCACGTCCAACATTAGTCGTCTGCTGTCTGCATCTGTTAAGATGTTGAAGACGGCCTCGCGCTCGCCGATCCAATCGCGTTCGATGATCTACAAGGCCTTCGCCACCATGAGCCCCGTTTATCGGCAGTTTTTCAAGTCCAAGTACATCTTTGCTATGCAGCTGCCCATGCCTCTCGTTCGGTTTTTTGGAAGGGGTGGAAATTATTCCTTCCTGAAGCTCATCCACAGAGGCTCCTTCGGAAAGCGGGAGTATACATCTCAGGATGCTGCGGAGTGTTTTGCTAGCTCCTTGGGTCCGTCAGTTGCAGAATCCGGGACTCAGACCGCTGATGGCGAGCAATATCCCGCGTCACTGAAGAATGAGCGCGCACCGTCGAGCTTCCAGCACATGGCCTGCTATTACAGAGATGGAACTGCTTACGCGCGTTGGGACAAATCTGTTGAGACGATTACTGCCTTGCACAGCATCGCGAGCGGTAGCGGTGCCCGTCGTGCCAGCAGCGGGGCTGGACTGTTTGATGACGGACCCAAGGGGGCCCTGAAAGCTTGTGCGACCGTTATTTGGGGCAAGGGAGACATTGCCTTGGAGCCGCAGATCTGCTTGGATGGCCTCGCCGATTACCTTGTCGCAGACAGTCAGTTGATCGAGCTTCCACTCTCGGGCCACTTCACTCCGATCGAACGGGAGAGCCAGGTTGCCTTGGAAAAGGCGGTTGAGTGGGCTGTCAAGGGCGAGAAGGAGGACATCGGGGCGGTTATGAAGGCTTGCTATCCAACGGCTGTAGTGACTCTTCGGAAGTGAACTGATCCGATCGTGTTGTTTGCTTGAATAGCTATTTTAGGGACGGACGCCTTTTCGCCTAGTCCTTCCTTTAGTTGTTGTGAATGTTTTGCCGAGACTGGCTCAGCAGGTGCAGGGGGGACACAAAAGCCAGGTACACGGTTTCTTGTTTCCGCGCCGAGACCGCTATCGGTGCACTCTAAGGGGGAATTAAAGAGTGCGGACATGCAAGGGGCATTCGCGGAGGTTGGCTGTCGGTCTGGCTTCTAGGCTGGTCTGCAATCGGAATTCCACAGCTTCTTTTCCCTTCCTCCTTTAAATAGACGGGAGTTTTCGCAACGCAACGTGCACCACCTCCGACATCCGGTGAATAAACGGCCGGGAGGAGCAAGCGTCGGTGGCACGGGGACGCGGCCTGATGCAGTTGAGCTCTGCCGCTCCTCACCAATGATCCCTGGCGTTGGCTTTGGCTCCTTTTGTTTCCCCCCCCTCAGACCATCCCCAGCCAGTGCGCGCCGCATTGACTTTTTCCTTCCCCCCAGAGTAGTAGTCCCGAGCCACGAACAAGCTATCCTTTTTTTTTTATATATATATATTTTTTTTCTTTTCTTGTATTCTCCATTCCCAGTCATCCAGCAAGCAGAAGCAATTCAATTCAAGTTGTCGTGTGGGTATTCGTAAATCCAACCAGAAAAGAAGTCTGGTTCCATCCAGATCTTGACTTCCCCAGCCTCCCAAGGACTGCTCACAGCCGGGACCGACTTTGCTGATTGCTGCTTATGCTGGCGGGCGGGGTTTAGCTCCAAACGTCACCTGCGAGTGAGGGGGATCGTAGTAATTTGGGGGTGAACTAGCTTAGTACCTCCTAGACTAGCTCTCAACCTGCCTTCTCTCCTCTTTGCTTTCCTTCTCGTCTTCGTGCACCTCACACTCGTTTGTTTTTGTTTCTTTGCATCACTCCCTTTTATCGTAGCTGGTGGTCTCGTCAGGATCGCGCGGCTCACCTCCCGCCGCAATGGTTCAAGGAAGTGCCGTTTACTGCACTGTATGTTCCGCCTCCTCATCCCGTGATCACGTTGCCTGCTACTAATTGGTCCCCCAAACAGCTTCTACTGAGTGATCACTATCTCCCAGGTATGCTTGCTCCTGTGACTGTCAGGCTACTGTTCAGAGCTCCCTTCCTGACTTGCTTCCACTCAATCTATTAGGCGCCACCGTTCTTGCTCATTCTCTCCGCGACAATGGCTCCAAAGCTAAGCTGGTTGTTCTGTTCACCCCGGACAGCTTGCAGCCAGCAACAATCCAGGAACTTCAGGTGCGCGCGCATGCTTCATTCATGCTAAACAATCCCCACCTCACAGGGCCAACCACTGACTAGCACGCCTTAGGCTGTCTATGATGAACTAATCCCCGTGCACCCTCTGACAAACATCACTCCAGCGAACCTCTGGCTCATGGATCGGCCGGACTTGATTGCAACCTTCACAAAGATCGAGCTCTGGCGTCAAACCCAGTACAAGCGCATAGTCTACATTGATTGCGATGTGGTCGCACTCAGAGCGCCCGATGAACTCCTAGAGTTGGAGGTGGATTTCGCAGCGGTTCCAGACGTAGGCTGGCCGGATTGCTTCAACAGCGGTGTTATGGTGCTCCGTCCTAACTTACAGGATTATCTTGCTCTCAGAGCATTGGCAGAGCGAGGTATCAGTTTCGATGGCGCTGATCAGGGTCTTTTGAACATGCACTTTCGCGATTGGCACAGACTGAGCTTTTCGTACAATTGCACACCCAGTGCGAACTACCAGTATATCCCCGCCTACAAGCACTTTCAGAGTACGATCAGCATGATTCATTTTATTGGTGCTCAGAAGCCCTGGAATATGGCGAGGCAGGTGGAACCAATTCAATCTCCCTATAATCAGTTGTTGGGAAGATGGTGGGCTGTCTACGATAGGCACTATCGTCCTGTTGTGACTACGAATGTCAGTACTAGATCGTGGATAGCCATTGAGGCATCTCTACATAGTGTCCTTGAGCTAATTGTACCAGCAGCCAATCCAGCTACCTAAGCCTGTGTTTACAATTCAGGTGGAAACCCCACATCAGGAATTCTATGGGGGTCACCAGGAGGATGTACAGCCGCCGCCGCACAGGGAGTATACGGAGTATGTGTCTCATGGGCAAGCTCAAGAAACGCACTTCGAACCGTCGTCGCAAGCGCAATACGAACACCCGCAAAAACATCAGCAGATTTCTCACCAGGACTTCGCGCCGTTCCAGCCAGCTCAGCCACCAACTCAACCACCAGCATCGGCACCAAGCTACCCTACACAAGTTGCGCACGAGGCTCCACAGGTGCACCAAGCGCATGAAAATTACCAACCGCATTCTCAACAGAGTGTGGCAGCACCAGCTCCCGAACCTACGCCTGTAGCAGGCTCAACAATACCCACTGAGCCCGAGCAACGACAGGAACAGCGTGCGGTTGAGAGTGCACAAGCACCAATCATAAGCGCTGTTCCGCGGTATGTTCGTGGGGAAGAGCATGTCACGGCATACATACACCCTCAATCAGGCGAGACATCATTTGTAGCCCATAGCGAGCCGCAATCACGTGCACATGAACCTAGCGTGCCATCGCATATACAAACACCTCAGCCACAGTCACAATATTTCCAGCACGAATACCATCAGCAGCCTACAGAGCCAGCCAATGTGTCTGAAGAGCAGCCACCTGCACCGCCATCTCCGAAACCTGAAGTACAGACTACGTTTGAGC